ATTTTTCCAGAGAAAATGCAAATTTACCGGCGAAGATCAAACAGCATTCGGAGCGTACACAATGAGCAATTGCTTGGTGCAATGTCGCTTGCAATGTATCGTCAGTCTTTGCCATTGTATCCCAGTGATGCTACCCGTTTCAGCTCAGTCGTATAAGAACGGGGTCACATTCTGCAACCTCAAAAACCTCGCCTGCTTGAGTCAATTTAGCAGTGAGATTTGAGTTGGAGCCCTCAAATTGATCACCCTCAATAAGGAATGTTGCAGGCAAATGGCTCAGGTACTACCCTCTGGACGACCCGCGTGCTGTCGAGTTGAGTTTCGAGTTTGAGGACTCGCTTTTGTGCGAAAACTGTCTACCTAACTGTGCCGACACCCTCTATGATACGAGCACGAGTTACTTGGAGTTCCATAGTGGCTCGGATTATCTGTATGTTTGCCAAATTTATATGAACTTGCGGTTATTGGGGGCTTTTCCAGGAACAGTTCCAGAGTGCACGTTTTTTCTGGAAATGGACAAGCAAAGTACTACAAGAAAAGGGTTGCAACCATGTGGTTTGAGTCGCTAAGTGAGACCAAGAAGGGTTTAGTCACTTGCTTAAATGTTTAAGATCCTTTTTTAGGTACAGTGGGCGGGATTCTTTCCTTTATAATGGGAATCAGCATCATTAACTTGGTCGAACTTGCTGTGGTTTGCGCCAAGCTGGTAGCAGCGTTCTTGTGGAAATAGTTAAAAATCACTAGTTTAATTAGCTTAGGTATTATTAAGTTTAAACAATTTTATGCAGGGCGATAACTCAAAGAAGTTTTTGCGGGCTGGTGTTTCAGGAACTTTTTGCATATTAAAGCACATTAAACTTTGTGCTCTACACCCTTAACACACGCCTGGCAGTCGCGCATTTGCGCAAAGCGGCAGCTAAAAATGCAAATTTGTTTTAAACGAACGAGAAAATATCATAGTCCGAATAATTTCAGACCCACATTTTCTACACCGGCTTTTATTAAACATCCTGTTTTAAGTAGCTGCAAACTCAAGACAGTTTTCCTTGACCAAGTTCCTCAAGATTTTTCTTCCTGACGTTTTGCTGGCAAGAGTGGCTCGCATCTTCAGAGAGAACGTCAAACAATTGATTGTTGCAAAATTGCAGAAATCCAAATGAAGGGCGGAATAGCTGATTGGCGACGGTTAGCAGGCTGGTCATTGGGTCGCGTTGTGCTCAGCTGATCCGCCTGCTTCCCCGCCCTTTGTTCTGATTGGTGCAAAGTGTGCGCCTGCAAATTTTTTCACTTCTGGGGGAAACTCATAAGGTTTTCCGTTACTGGTTCGGCAAAATGAAGACGCCATGCTTTTAACGTACGGCCACTTTAGGCCATCAGGCCGACGTTGTCAAATTCGCCGTTCTCGTGTATTAGTTAGGTTAATTTTGGAAGTTTTGTGCGGTTGTGTACAGACTTTGACAACTTTTCAAGTTTCTACCCAAACAAGCCCTGTTTAAAGCGCGATAAGTTCGTTTTTAATGAATTCTGGGCATTTAAAGTGGGGTAAGTGACTCTAAAGTGGACTAGCACAATTTGCAGTGGTTAGTTTCAGGGTCTGTGGATGTTTTGCTGGAGTTTCTAGAAGTGGCCATTCACACTGCGGTTTATTTGAGGCAACTCTATCCAGAGTCGATTTTCGTCGCCAGAAAGAAGTACGGAGTGGCCGTATTCCAGGCTGTTCATCCAGAAGTCGCCAAGTACATCCAGGAGTGTTTGAAAGCGGCAGGTTTTCATGCCAGCAAAAAGCAGCTTAAACGGCTGTTGGTCTGCTTTGAGGCTGATGATATTGTGGCCGATCGGTTTGTGGTTGATGTGCTTGCGATTGCTGAATCTTGCCACAGGTACAGCGTTTCCAAACTGCTGTAATCTCAACTAAAATCGGGTTTAGTGATGTTTTTCTAGTGGAGCTAGAAAGTTGCTTCCGCACTTTCCTGCTCAAACTCCACTCGGCGCAGCTTTACTTGGAGAAAATCGCGTCCCCGAATGCCACTTTCAGCATTCGGTTGGAAACCGGCAACCTTTCCAGCCTGGAGTTTAACGCCAGCCCATCTTTTGAGGTGTCTATTTAAAACAGCCCATCTGGCTGGTATTAGCAGGGTGTTTTTCTTTCGCAGCACTTTCCCTGGATTCCCCAAAGCCCCAGCCAAGGCCTGCGGGAAGACGCCGCCTCAATCGTCCCCATCCATTCCCTAACAACTGACTGCTTGAAGTTGCAAATGTACATAGAGAAATAATGGAGGAAACAGGAGAGACAGCCAAAGCTAAAACTCTCGCGGTTTTTGAGAATGTGGTGACAAAGGAGCGGAAGAAGCGCAAGTTTAAAACCCACCGCTTTTCCGACGACGATTCCTCGCCTTCTGAGTCCGAGCTGGTGATTGACGACGGCCGCAGAGGGGAAGTAAGTGATTATTCTGCTGCGACAACTTGCAGCTGATGAAGTGTTTTTGGCTGAGCAGGCCAAAAGACGATGCTCCACATTTCGGATCCGGCTGAAGCAGGAGACGCTCCACCTGAGGTGCTGCTGGGGGGATTGCACGGACGGATTTGAGAGCTTAATGGACCTAACGAAGCACTTTGAGATCCACACCAATTCTTCAGCAGGTAGGCAGAGGTTTTTTTGATGCAAAAAATTCTCACTGGCTAGAAGTAGATTTGCGCTGTAAATGGACGGACTGTCCCAACCCCGACAACATTCCATCGCGCGAGTTCCTGCTGCGTCACTTGTCCGTCCACGGCTACTTGGGAAAGCTGGTGAATGTCGGGGAAAATGTGCTCCGAAGAAACAACTTCCCGGAATGTTCCTTGAAACGCAGCTACACTATCGAGATGCCTCTGGCCGGGTATGAGTGCGAATGGGAGGGCTGCAGCGGGATCATCTACAACACAGTCTGCGATTTTCTCAGCCATGTTGAGTGTCACGTGAATGGGGCGCCGTCTGGCAAAGTCAAAGGCAAGCCAGAAAACATCCCTTGCGAATGGAACGGTAAAACTAGCTGATAAAGGCAAGCTTCAGCCACATTTAAATAATCTCCGGAAATTTCAGTGTGCAACGGCAGTTTTTCCACCCGGTACAAGCTGGGGGAGCATCTACGAACGCACACGAAAGAGCGAATGCTCGCCTGTCCCACCTGCATGGCGCAGTTCTCCAGCAAAACAACCTTTTCCGACCACAGAAAACGTCAGCTGAAGACACACAGTAAGCAAAATGGAAGTTCTGGGCATAGCTTGAACTGACGGATTTTTTTTCAGTGCGAAGCTACCAGTGTTCGCAATGCTTGAAGCTGTTTTCCATTGAGCGGCTACTGAGCGATCACATGCGGTCGCACATCAACCAGTACAAGTGCGCGCTATGCGACATGACCAGCCCAAACCCTTCGACTTTATCCAAACATTACCGATACAGGCACATGAATATTCGGCCGTTTACCTGCGGCGTTTGCTCCAAAACGTAAGTTGCAATATACAAATTTTGGAACTATGCTGCGTTTAATTGCCTAAATTGATTTAATGTAATTGTTGCAGGTTTGTGACCAAATGCAACCTGGACATTCACCTGCGGACCCACCAAGAAAAGGCGTTCCAGTGCGACCAGTGCGAGTTCGGTTGCAAGAGCAAAGTAGGACTGAAGAGCCACATGGTGAAAGTGCATGGTCTGGTGAGGAGTTTTTTTGAAGTTATTTAAGCTTGCCCTAACTCCCGTTGACTCTCGTGCAGGAATCCTTAGTGTACGAGTGCCAGCTGTGCAAGCGGCAGTTCAAGCGAGGCTCCTACTTAACCTGCCATCTAATCAACCTGCACGAGTTCCATTGGCCGTCGGGACACTGCCGATTCAGGTACTTGATTGGCTCAACCACTCCAAGTGTGCCGTTTGGTGAGTGTGCAGCTTTTCCAGGTACCGCAAGGACTCGGATGGCGTCCATCGGCTTCAAACCGTGCGCTATGAAAGCCTGGAAGTGACCGAACAGATGATCGAGAGCGAGTCCAGGCAGTCGAAGAAGAGCCGCAGCGCTGCCACCTACAACATTGTATACGACAACGATGCTCCGGGTGACCACAAGTTTATCGTTATGGAGGAGCATGGCGTTGAGCCGCGCTCGGCGCTGGTGAGCGACGAAGATGAACCGGCTTCAGAGCAAACCCGCTCCATAATAATCACCATTGAGGACGTGGATGAGAGCGGCAACGTGGTGCGATCTACGGAAGTGGATTCGGAAGAACTGTTTGTATCATTCCAAAATGAAGTTGCCGAAGCCATCAAGCCCATCGGCTGCAAGGACATGCCAGCGGTTGAGCTGAAGTGAAACGGATCATGCCAGCTTTTCCCTTGAATGCTCTGTGTTTTTTTTAATAAACTTTACTCCAACCCATTATGGTTCCCCTGCAAACCTGCAAGCCGTCCTTGGTTGTTGCGGAATGGTACAAGCCGCCCTCCAGAATTGACTTCTTAAGGTAGGTGAAAGATTAGCCACTAGGCCTGGGTAACACTGTGTTGAGTTGTTGCCGCTCTCTGAGTTAACGAGTTATAACTCCTCGGTTAATGAGTTATATGAATTATAACTTGTTGAAGCTTTACGAGGCCCGAGACGGGAATTTTCACATCTAAAAAATTAACAGTTTTACAACTATTTTTGCAAAGCGGTTAAGGAGGCGAGTGTTCCAATAAAATGTATCTTAACATTTTTCACAGAAAATAAAAGATTGCTAGGATTTTAAGTAAAACTAAAAAATAATGCGATTTTTGCGTAGAAACAATTGCTTAATAGAAACTTTGCTAACACTGGAATGACCTGAAAATTTTAGAAATCCTCGGAGCGATGAGGGCGGCGAATTTTTCCAATATTTTTTTGTAAATTTTCAAAATAGTCCATACTTTCGGTAAAAAAATTAGTAACATTATTTGGTTTTTGTGCCAAATTCGAAGCTGAAATGGTTTTTTTTTTAAGTTCTCTGGAACCCGATGAATGAGGTAAATTTTCTAGCACAATTTGGTCATTTTGGACTGAAAACACCCCAGTATGGTCAAAAAAGAAGAAAATCGTCAGAAACTAATGCTTTTTTGCGTTTTCGATTAAAAACTTTTAATTTTCCGATCGGTTTTGGTTTTGAAAATAATGTTAACGACAATAATATTTTGCATATGCGCAACCATCTCAACATAAAATAGACACCCACGTTTTGGTTGTTTACCATTTTGAAAGCCAAAAAGCCCTTTTGCTTCGACCTTTTGCTTAATCTTTGTGTCGTAAGCCGCTGGTAGTTTGAACCCGTATATGGCCTAGGCCACGCCCCACGCTCTTATTGGTGCAAGCACTCGCTAATAGGAGGCGCGAATAGATTTGCATCAATATTTTTTAAATCATTTACTTATCACAAATGCAAAAGTTAAAAATAATTTAAATATTACATTACCTAGAAGTAGTATTATAGTACACGCTTATACAAAACTTGAGCAGAACAATGTCGCGTTGAGTGTTGAAGAGTTGAACAAGTTTAGCCGAAGATCAGGAAAATGGCAGTTTGAGTGAAGAGAATGAGTATTGCTCGGCAGTGCTGAGTTGCTATCCTAAGTCTAATCTAGTGCTATTTATATCCGGCTGTTGCTGCCCTTCCATTGCATGTTATTGCGCGGTTGCATGGGCAACGAGTTTCTGCTGCCTCCGTACGTGCTCTCCTCTTCAAACGCCTTGTTCACGAGGCCATTTTCGAAGATTTCCTTCGCAGGAATGCTGCTGGCAACGCTGCTTCGATGGTTCCGGGTCAGATTGTTCACGTTGTTGTTTGTGGCGCTGTTAAAGTCGTTTTTAGCGCCCAGAGTTTGCATGTGCGACTTCCTCCGCTCCGCCATGACGGAGTTGACGCGCACCTCCAAAGCCTTCATGGTCTCTCGACGCATTGTCATTCTCCTGCTGAGCACTGGAGTGCCTGCGGGAATAACAAATAAGGAGTTGGGAAGACGATTGAACATCCGAAGTTTACCTCCATTCGGGTTGGCGTTGAGCTTAGCGAATCTCTTCTTGAAGGCCACATCCAGAGTGCCGATCTGGCGCTTCTTCTGCGCCGCCCTCTGGATGTTGTGGATGGTTTTCCGGCGCCCGATTCGGTCCGGGCCGGAGCCCGAGTCGTTGTCGTAGTCGCCATCGTCAATTCCCTGCAGTTTCTGCAGCTGTTTCACTATGGCTACCGCTTGCTTATCCAGGAGCGCGTTAGGAGACATTTCCTCTTTCTGTAATCCGAGCAAAAATGAGCAGCTGGAGGAGGTGAGAGGGAGGCTTGGTACCTTTTTGCTGAACAAGTTCAGCTCAGTGGAGGCGAGGATGTGCGCGATGGTGCCGAATCGATGGAACAACATCGCGACGAACTGGATCACCAAGATGAGGGCAAAGAAAAACACGAACACCAACCCGATGGGTTCGAGCTGCAGGTATTCCTTGCTGATGTGAACCTGCCAAATGTTACTCGAGTTATTTGCCAGTTTTTGCTGGGATCCAATGCTGTACAACATGCAGTAACGCGGCCACATGCTGGAGAAAAGTGCGAATGCTGTTGGAAATCGACCGATCGCAACAGCATTCCGGGAAAAGTGTTTCAAAGTCCACCAGTGTCTGGATGTGTTTCATCACTGCATATCATACACATTTTTATTTGGGAATCAACTAATGGAACGCTGCAGCTGGCTGATATTGAGGATCGCATTCAACGACAAAAGTGTGTTTGTGTATGAACATGATGAGTTTTCGGGAGTTTTTGAAGCGCCAGGATTTCAGTGATTAACTACGTTTGCAAGCAATTTTCGTTATAGTTTTTTTTAACAAAAAATGTGGAGTTGCAACTGCAGGATAGCAAAATTGGAGACACAATTTCATTAGGATCCGAGCTTTGAGCCACATGGTGAGCTCCCAGGCAATCCTAATTTTTCAGAAGCTTTTGAACGCGAGAGTGAAATTACAAGAACCGCCCAACTTTAGCTGCAGTTTTTAAGATTTGATGCAATTCTGGGGCTCACAGAAGGACTTATTGGAATCTAAACCCGAACAACTGCTTCCAAACGTAGCTATTGGCTGAGATCGAGAACACTAAGAAACAGCCGTTGACTTCTCTAGATGAAAAGTGCTTTTTATTATCAGAGACATTTGTGGGCGCCATGCAACACGTCTGGAACAATGTGGTTAATAACAGTTTTTAGGTATTAGTGAAGTGCAGGCCCTCAAAGTCCAATAATAAAAACACAGTGATGTTCTGGAGGCGTGTTAAAAGACTGGGTGTTTGGTAGTAACTGCTCATCCATTGTTAGAGCGAGTGACTGAGAATATTTATAGTGCAACTGGGATTAACAACAATCGGAAGTGTTAATTAACCCCCTAGTGGATTAATCACAACAAGAGCATTTAGATTGGGGGCAGCCGTGATGTTTGGGGAACAGTTCGAAAACCTGCTATTATTAAACGTGAGGAGTTGAAGAGGAGTGAAACAATCAGCTTAAATAATAGCAGCGACTGAAACTGTCCGAAAATTAAATCACAGCCAAGACCAGGAGACTTATTAGTAGTAAGTCCAAAATCCAGAGGGAAGACACAACGCATTCAGAAGGCCTTTAAATACCTCAGAGGTCTCCTCAATGTACGTAATATTAGTGCGTACTCCCAAAGGCCACTTTACGTGGATTTGGTCCTTGTTCAGTTGCAACAAGAACACGACTAACACAAACAGAGCATTGAACATGAAGAATGCGAATACCGATTTATTGCGAAGCTCAATTAGATCTTTCGCAATGCGATCCTGTAAAAGTAAAGACAAGCGTTAGGGTGGCTGATTGATGCGGGATCGATTTGGTACCTGGACGAATTCGCGGTATGCCCGGGCATAGATTCGTCAAAATCACCAAATCGGTCCCTCAGTAATTACCTCTTGTGAACTCTCGTCATACGTTATGTTCGTTTTCACACCGAACGGCCATTTAATGTGAAGATTGTCCTTTTTGAGGGTCAACAAGAACACGATTAGTACGAAAAGGGCGTTCAGCATAAAGAACGCGAACACTGATTGGTCTCGGAGCTCTTTTAAATCGGATGCGATACGTGCCTAAAAACAGTGGCAAACATCGGTTAAGGTTTGAACGAAAAAACTTGAACCTGAAGAAAAATCGCATTCGAAACCTTCAGTCTATTACCTTTTCCTCCTTGTTCTCGTCCAAGGGATAGAGATACTTGTCCAGCAAATCCTTCCAGAACTGCATCTCATTGCTGCTCAAATACTCCACTTCGCCTTTGCCAACATCAGGATCTTCGATCCAGTAGGGATTGACCAGGTCATCGCGCTTGTTCTGAGGCACTGTGGAGGTGCTTTCTGAGTCCGACTCCGAAGAGGCGTCCTCAGCAGGCTCCTCATTGACGGCGCTGAGGTGATGATGGTCGCCATGCCTGGAGGAGGCGGACATGCTTCGTTTCCTCGAGGCGTGGCCGCTTGGGTCGACGACTCTGAAAACGTCCATCAGTCTTGTGCCATTGAAATTTTCTGGGCGATTACTTTTCGATGTGATCCAGGCGCTTTTGGAGCTTGTCCAAGGACTCGCCGATGTGGATGAGTTGCGTCGTTTCATCTCCAGCCTTCTGATGAGTGCACAGCATGCACTTAAACAAGCCAGCCAGGGAGATTTCAATGCTGCCTTCGTCATCGTCGTTGGTGCCTCCGTTTTGCAGAAACCCAAGCAGCGACTTGTGCTTCGTCTGCTTCTTCGATTGCTCCGCCTGCTTCTTCTCTTCTTCCAGTTCCTGCATTGATTTGATTAGTTTTCTCGCGAGAGTTTCGTGTGCAACTGCACCTTTTTGGTCTTCTTCACCGCCACCTCCCGGGTCCCCCAGGAGACATTGTTCAGGTTGATGATGGAGTAGAGAATCAACAGCAAGTACATAGAGGGAATGGACAGGAGGTAAATCACTCCCGGCACGATGCACCAGAACTCCTGCGGATGAAGGCAGGCCGCTATGAAGAACGACCCGGTCATGGCAATGAGGAAAATCGCCGAAGGCGATCCGATGCCATCCTCCCTCAGCTGTAGCGCGGTCCCCACGATGACTGCCATCATAATCAGGGCATAGCCAGTGGAGAGGATCTGGGCAACGATCAGCTGCAAGCAACAGTAAAACAACGGAACTTTCCATGCCCCAGCAAGCTCACCTGTATGTTGGACTTGCAGGTGAAGCAAACGAGCATGAAGAACAGAATGGGGTAGAGGTTGTAGTAGAAGCTGGTCCAGTTGTCGATTTGGAAGGCCGCAACAAAGGCCCCGACCAACATGAGGAAGATGGTGCCAGGTCCCAAGATGGTGCCGCCCATCAGCAGGATCTGGTACCCAATGTAGGGCATGGAGATGTTGTCGTTCACGTCAATGGTCCTTTTGGAGTCCATCAGCAGATCCATGATGTTGGCGATGGTCGAAGGCACCTGCATTGAGGTGTTAGCAGCTGCAAATTGTTCGGGGGTGGAGTGGCGCACTCACCCATCGGCGCCGTTGATTGTAGAACTCGTTGAAGCCTTCAGGGGCGTGCGTGTAGGCGTCTGAGGCAGCCGAATACTCCACTCGATAGCCTCTTTGGAGGAGCAGAGTGCACAACCAACGGTCCTCTCCTTGATCGTACTGCACGTAATGTCGAGCCTCGGCAGAGCTGTGATAAACTCCCAAAATGTACTCCCGGAGGACATGAAGGAACCTCTCCTTACCATGTAGTGTACTTCTTCATAACATTGTCGTCCATCAGGGCTTTGCCTCGGAAGAGCGAGAAGCATCCAGGGCTGCAAAGCACGCAGCCAATCACGTGCTCGGTGGCCTTTTGCAGCCAATGGCCAATCGCGTACTCGAACAGTTGGTACCACACCATTGGCCCGGAGCCCACTGGATGGATACGTCCACAGGCCGCCCCTAAACGACAGTTTTCAACTAGCCCCCAACTTGCAACCTGGGAAATTACCTAGATTTTTGTTCTTCTTCATCAAATCGATCAACAGCAGAACAGCCGAGGGCTGGAAGTCGATGTCTCCGTCCAGGGTGAGCAGATAGGTGTTTTCCGCAATCGTTTCCTTCCGGTCTACGGATATGGGCAGTTCCATTAGCCGATGACCGAGCAGATAGTACATGTACATCACTTGCGACCAACGCTTTCGGTGTCTGATCTTCATCTTGTCCTTTAAGTGGGCGATCATCTTGGTTTTGCCAGGCAATTGCCAGATTAAACGGCCTAAAGGCAAATGTTTTTTAAAGCTTGAAGCTTGCAAGCATACAACTGACCTCCATAAGGTGTTGGAATTTTCTTGGGCGGCCTCACTCTGATATGCGTCTGATGCACGTCCGAAGCAGCTTCATCAATAGTGGCGATCAGCAATTTAACAAATCGATTCACTTGCGTATCGTCGTCGTTGTGATCAGCAATTTCGAAGGCGTCATCGAAGAAGATATGCGCTGATGGATATACCCCGTTGGTCAACAACACGCCACACCCTCTCTCCCAGTCTACTCACTTTCAAACTCGTAGTAGTCGGGATCGACCACTCGCAGGTACTTCTGAGCTACTCGCCGCGCCGATTGGTCCTCATCCAGCCGCAAAATGGACTTCAAGAACTCAATCATCTCCTCCTTGTTCTCGTGCCACATAGTCGCACAGGCGTAGATCCTGGTGATGTTGTCCGAGTTCTTAATAGTCTTCGGCGATGAGCCGTCGGTGTGATTGGAAATGGTCTCGTAGTACTCGTCGGCTTTCTCCTTCTGGATTTCGTCCAGATCTTCAGTCTTCACATCAGCTTCGTCGTCTCTTCTCCTGTTCATGCCCATGCTCTGATCAATGAGCAAACCTTCGTACATGGGGATGACGAAGAGTTTTTCCGTGCGGGCCAACCGTTCGCACTTGGGCGTCCAAATGTGAAGAGTCACCCACGTTTGGGATAGCAGCCACAGTAGCCATACCCAGGCGTGCTGATGCGAAATGAAGTCGTTGAGGAACTGAGCTGCCGGGATCTCATAGAAGAGATAATCTGGGAAAGTGTCGTGGAAGAAACAGGGATCGCCGTTCCTCAAGCCGCAGGCGGCTATGAGGAGGGAGACGCAGACGGGGATGGTTAGGTTGACCGGGAAGGCGTAGGAGAAGCCCTGGATCATGATCTTGCAGGCGAACTTGCCGAAAATGTACGCCAGATAAGAGGCGAGTGTGTTGATGAGTAGCACGTAAATGGCGCTCCAGTCGTTCGACTGGATGACTGTGTCATCCCCAGTGGGGATGATCTCTGAGATGTCTGGCAAAACCGTTCCTCCCAGCACCGGCTTTATCTAAATGATAATCCCATCATTAACGTGCCTGAAAAAAGCTGCAATACCCACCTCCAAGACTGTGATGGGATGCACGTTGAAGCTCTCGGAGAACTCGGTGAAGAAGAAGGCCACTTCTCCCTCGCGGATCAGCAGCACGAACAGGATGGTGAGAAAGAAGCAGAGGATCTTCCAGATGGAAATGAACATATAGTTGAAGTACCGGGTCTTGTCAAACGAATCCCTGATCTTGCCCAGCTTTTTGATGAAAGGCAGCGGGGAGTGTTTGGAGATGTAATTCTCCCACCATCCCAGGGAGATGAGGAAAATCGTCACTGGAATGATCCAGAGATCTGCGCGGTTTTCTATAATCGGCCAGACAATAAATCCAGTAGCTTGCGCTGAGATCGCCACCAGATCCATGATCACCTTAATAAACCTACTGGACTCTTTGTTGTTGCGAGACAGCAAACCTGCCAAACATGTTCAGTTGGTTGAAATCATTAGGGAGATTGGGAGGACTTACCCAAAACAGCTGGCATGAAGCACAGGCAATTGGTCAACATGGCGCCCTTCACCACATCGATATCCGGAAGAATGTAGAAGGCCAGAAGGGCCAAGCCGATTGTATGTGCAGTCTCCGGCAGGAATATGAGCAAAAAGTGACTAAAGGGCGGCCGCTTGGAGGACTTGAAGTAGCACATCCTGGTCGATCGGAACAGCGCTCCCAGCTGCGGCACGCAGAACGCAAAGAACAAACACCACATCCAGGCCACTCGTTCTTGCGTGGGCAATTTGACTATGAATTGCTTTTCCCTACCTGGAATGGGAGGCAGTGAGCCGCAGGCCTCGAACAGTGCCAGGAACTTACCTAAATCCTTATTGCAATAGTGGACTATTTTATCAGGCTTGAGTTGGGAGGTCATGAACAGTAGGGTGCCTTTGGAGATCACCCCCGATGCTAATACGATAACGAACGTGACTAAGTAGGCGAGGATTTTGAGGATTTTCACGGTGATTTCCAGGCATTTTTGATTCGCCATCGAACCGGACTCCTCCTTGATAGGAGGATCTCTGAAGACGTCCCATCCTTTGGTTTCTTGTACTGTGCGAACACTGCAAGGAAATGTTGAGGTTGAAGAATGTTCAAGGTAGGCCTGGGTAACACTGTGTTGAGTAGTGCTATTGAGTTGTTGCCGCCCGCTGAGTTGAAGAGTTATAACTCATCGGTTAAGGAGTTATAAGTCATTTATTAAAGCTTTACGAGACCCGATACTGGCATTTTC